TAAACACAGAAGAAAGCCGTTGCTTGGGGGAGCTCGCGACGAGGCTGCCATACTCGGCGCCATCTTGGAACATCCATGGAACATACCATGGTTCCGAATAGGTAGATATCTTCAGCACTCAGGCTCACCCAAGCCCAAACTTCTCGTTGAGAAAGGGGTGTCAATTGCTTCTCCTTTTCAGGGTCGTGGGGGCGGGGGCAGTGGAGCCTATCCCCGCTGTCATAGGACAAAGAGGCAGGGTACTCGGTGGACAGGTCGCCAGTCTGTCGCAGTAGCTTACCATCACCAGTGTGTGAATGTGTGTGAATGGGTGGATGACTGAATGTAGTGTAAAGCACTTTGGGGTCCTTAGGGACTACAATAAAGGCCATTTACCAATTAACCTATCCCCACAAACTGCATGTCTTTGGATGGTGGGAGGAAGCCGGAGTACCTGGGGAGAACATACAAACTCCACACAGAAAGACCCTGGCCTGATGGTGGAATTAAACTGAGGACCTTCTTGCTGTACACCAACAGTGCTAGCCATCGTGCCACTGTGCTGATTGTAAAGTAAATAATCAAAAAAAAAACCTTTGAAATCAGTTTAATCACTGGAGGATAGCTGTGGTGGCATTGCTTCTAAATCTATAAATAAACAATTAATGATCTGTAGTACTTGTAACTTAAAGTCTTTGAGGTGCCATGGTCCCGGTGTCTGCCCGCCCAGCCCCGCAAGGCTACATGTGCTTTTGTTTACTCTCTCTTTCTCTTGCCTCTCCGCCTTGGCGGAGCTCATTGCAGGCCCCCGCCCTTGGACCATACCTGTTGTCCATCAGGCCACCATTATGTGTTTGCCATTTAAGGCCGAGACGCAGACAGCCTCATCGCTGGATGATTGTGCGAGACACGTTAGTGAGCCTCTAGTATCAGTGAAATTTTCGTGTGTAACTCTGCGATTCTGCATAACCTATCTCTTTGTAAATAGTTTTCCCAGACCATAACCTACCCGCTGTGTGGACGTGTGTGACGAAGAGAGCGTGTGCGAGAGAGCTACCCCTTCCCTGATTTTCCCCATGGACCCTAGGAACCCTGAATTTCCCCCAATGTATATATTCTGCACCTGGTGATTGTGTAAATAAAACTGTTTTTGGAACTGAACTCTGCACTTGAGTCCCCGCCATCGCTTGTAACAAGAGGCTTAGTCACATCATAGCCCTACTGAATCAGCTGGCAAAGCCGATGTCCACAAGATGCACTGACAGAGGCAAGGCTGCCAGACACTGGCGCCACCGGGCCCTCTGACCACCACCAGTAGGCAACGGGTGAAGTGTCTCGCCCAAGGACACAACGAACCGAGACTGTCGGAGCCGGGGCTCGAACCAGCAACCTTCCGATTACAAGACGAACGCCCAACTCTTGAGCCACGATCGCCTCTAATTAACATAAATATTTTATGTTACAAAGTTTCAACACATATACTAAATGTTGTGAATTTTTAGCTTCATATAACAAATACTTTAAAAAAATGTTCCAACTCACTTTCAAACCATTTTTTTCACATGAATATCTAAGAAAACATGGTTTAAATGACAAGCCTGAAATTTTCACTAGTCATTTTTGCCATCAACCATCAGCATCTGTAATTGTGTATTTCAGACAAATGCATCACATGTCTCTCTATTAGCGTATCAAGTAGTCCTTTAAAATCCCATATTTGTGCGTACTTAATGTTTTCAAGACCTACTCCTACCATTTTGAGCCCTTTTGTCCTAGAAGAGTCTGATAAGTATAGAACTTTTTATTTTAAACAGCCTTTGAGATATCGATGTTTAAACATTGCCTCAGATTTCAGTGTGCAAAAAAAAAAAAGACCTGAAAGGAACCTTTCTTTAAAAAGTCCTCCGCCAAGTCCTATATCCTGAAACTAATTGGATTTATGAATCTAAAATTTGTCAGCAACCATTATACATGTTCAAACTTTGTGTCACAACATTTTGATGTAAATTTGAGATGGTTGAGTAGAAGACCAGTGTTGATTTGAGATGAATGACCCGTTTAATAATCAATAATCTTGTGAGACACATAAGTTTTGTTGTGACTCAGTGTGACCACTGGAGGGAAGTAAAGACTCTTTTGCAACATACAATCACGCTGCAGACAGTGCACAGGACACTGGGAGAGGTTTACTCATGCTTATAAGTCATCCAGAAATAAATTTAAACTTGGCCCAGAAGCAGCACCTGCTGTCTGGACTACAAGATTTTCGATTATTTTCCATGCTCAAAAATATAAAGTACAAAGATATAGAGTTAGAAGTTTTAAAGCTCAGTTATTTGGATAGATAACGTCTCGTGTATAATTCAGGGTTTTTTGATTACATATTTTAGGTTCACTACCATGCACAGACACACACATACACACACGCAAAAAATTTATTGTAATTGAATATTTTTTGTTGTGTAATTTCATTAAGAAAAAGTAACTGTAGGGATCTGTGTTGCTTCTTAATTTGAAGCTGCTAACACGTTGCTCTGATGGTTGGATTAAAAGTTCTAAAGGTTTTTAAATCAACCTTGAAATTGTCCAAAAAAGCTGATTCAATACAAGCTTTGTGCCATCGATTTATTTAATGTAGCAACACCTTGTCAGTCATTAACAAAGAGCAAATGAATAATAAAAAGTAAATGATGTAGCAGGTGGGTCAGACGGGGTCAGTTCAGCTCTGGATGGAGCGCTCAGTGGAAAAGAATGAGATAGAGGGGTGCAGCAGCAGATATGGATCTGTTCTCAGCGGTTATTAGGACAGAAAAGAAAGTCAACTGCCAATCAGAGCTTCCCTTTGTGCAGCAGCTGGGCTGTGTGGGTTTCTGTGCGAGTTGGGGGTTTTCACTTTAATGTCACAGTGACAGTTACAGCAACAGCCACAGTTGCACAATAATTCCAGAAAGTATTCAGACCCCTTCACTGCAGTGACTCCGTGTGCTATAATGATGAAATCGAATAAAGTTTTGTTTGTTTAGGTTTTGTTTTGTTTTGTTTTTGGTTTTTTTCGCCAAACATTAGAAGTGAGGTCAGCTGCATCCTACAAAACCAATACAGGGAACACAAAGTGGTTTTTAATAATGTTGGTCCTACAACATCTAAGCTGGTGTTTATTAAAATCAGTCATTAGGATGAATTTTAGGTTAGCTGTACAAACCAGCATTAAGGTTAATCTGAGCTACACTAGTGTTACATTCAAGATGAGGTCACGTGCTTATTCACCCGAATGCAGGTTCGACTTTAGTGGTCAATAATGACCAACGCAACTTAAAAGTATATGTGAGAGATTTTTGGTGCAAATAGCACCATTCATGCAAAGAATATGGAAGAAATCACAGTTAAACAGTATTATAGGAATTTAAAGTTTATGAAGTGATTGCATGAGAACAGTTCAGCGCAGAGTCTCGGACATCCTGCTCGTATGAGAAGACAAACCACACAGAGACAGACTTGGAAACCGCTGAAACAAACAACTTATTGTTCTTCTCGAAACAAACACCAGCGCTTCACCTCACATGTTTTTATTTCACTTCCAATTGATCATGTTTTCACTTGCTCCACCTAAACACATTAAATGAAACAATGATAAGTTTGGAATCAGGGCTTTCAGTATTTAGCTCATGTATGCTGGTGGAAAATTAGATGTCAGCATCAAGAAATATTTCATCAACATTTGGTGTTTTCTGCCGCTTGTTTAAAGTATATTTATTTTTACTGCGCAGCTTTAACAAAGTCAGGTGTTTGAATTCATTGTAGTGTAGTCTTGACTCTTAGTCAGGACCATCTGTCCCCTTAACTACCAGAATACTTCAGTTTTAGTCATTTTCAAAAGTTAGCAAAAAAATAGAAGTACAATTGATGAAATTAATACAGAATGTTTAGTAGAAAAAGTAAATACAGTATTCAGGGTAATTCAAATAAAAGGAAAATTTATAAAAACTAGAACAATTTGACAGACTTTAAGCTGTTTGAAAGAGATTCAGTTAAAAAGTTGAAAAGCGATCCATGTTAGTTTTAAAAGCTAAAGGACGCTGCTATGGGGTCGCAGCGCTAACAGCTGCACTGATATCATGACATTGTTCAGAGGCTTTAAACAATCTCACATGGAACACACAATGACACATAATTTACATAACTGATATATAGATATGCAGACACTGCAGGATATATATGTGCATGTGTAAAAAAAAAACCCACACAGTCCAAATAAAGCTGGTGTAAAGATGATATCGTTTTTAAGACTGAGTCCAGAAAACAACATCCACGGGTTCCTGATAGTTTGGTTCCTTTAGTTAGACAGTTTTTATTCTGTTTCCTTTAATAAGAAAACCACACTATCTGTATAAAGAAACATTTGATTTGCAATGTCTGAAAGAGGACAGAGCTTAAAACTGGAGTTTGCTTTCATAGTTATATCTGCTTCGAATCATGGAGAACATGTTAAATAATATTTTAGGTCATAGAACTAATTGTTGTTGAATGACAAACACATTGGTGAGAGTTCAGAAATGCATCTGCTAAATATGTCCTTTACAAAATGAAACCAATCAAGGTGAACTCTAATTTTAATTTATTTTAACATTTATAATTTCATATTCAAATAAATATTGGGTCATTGTGTTTAACATTTTTATTGCATCTGGAAGGAATTTGTGATTTTGTGAGGGAACATTATGATTTTGAACATTTACTTCCACACTATGATATCACATCATGTGATGACTATGCAGTCCCAATGATAGTGAACTAAAAATAAGGCTCAGACACACCTGCATGTTTTTTTTTTATCTAACAGATTTATGGTTTCATGTTCTCATCTTCTTTAAAATCCTGTTTGTATCTCATTAAACATTTGTTCTTCTTTTACCACTGCTCGTTGCCTATCAGCATATATTGGGAGTGCTGCTGTTTCTCGCAGTTTTCTACAAAATTAAACTCAAACAAGCAAGATTTTTTTGTTTGCTTTATTCGGAATATTGCAGAGAAATACTTTGAAGAGCAGGCAACACTTTGTTTTAATTAAACAAATGCTATAAATGATGAATCATCTACTAGGGAGCTAATAATTCAGCCTTTTCTGTTTCAGCTCTTTTTTTAATATTGAAATAAAAAAGAAAGTAAAAAAACAACCAAAATGCTGCACTGTTACAGACTTTTCTAAATCCTGAGTGATAAACGATATGAAAAGCGATAAGCCAAGAAGAAGGAAACAGTCAGTCAGCTGCGTGTTTGCGGCTGCGTCTGATGAGCCTGAGCAGAGAGACTCCACAGCAGTACACCAGACTCTTCGTGATCAGCACCGTGTACACCAGGCAGAGCAGTTTTACTTGTTTTTGAGACACGGGATGTTCTGATGATGGACCTTCTGTTAAAGTTTGATTGGTGGAAAGTGTATCTGGTGGAAGTTCTTTTGGTGTACTTTGAGAAACTCCTGAAACAGAAAAGTCACATTTGAGTAGCTGCGTAGCTAATTTCATGCTGAAAAGGCAACAAACTTTCATTACCTTCCTCTATTTGACCCTCCACCGTCCCCCCCTCGTGTGTGACAGAACAGCCATATGTATGTGAGTTCTCGTCTTGCTGATGGATCAACAAGATGCTGGCAGTGTAATCGGACTCTATGATGTCCAGCTGTTCTGTGTCACCAGGGGGTGCCGCCAGCGGAGATCCGTCCTGCTTCTGGCTTTTCCAGGTGATCTTGACCACAGGAGGAACCATTTGTGAGGCCACACACAGCAGGGATCTCTTCTCCTCCAGATGATCACTGGATGCTGCTTGGTACACTGTCACCGAGGGCTTTGCTACCGGCGTAGCTGAAGTTTGACAGCAGACACAGAATTTCACTCAGTGTGACCTGAGAAGCTTCATAATCACCAAACTACCAATCAGTGCCTATCGGCCGTGTAATGGCTCATTTTAAACACTTAACAATATTCAGATGATTTATTGTTATAATGTATAATGTAATATTAAATATTAAAGGCAGAATTATATTTATCAAAGTTAAACTGATTTCATTAACACACAATATTTAATACAATTAACTCCTTTGTCCTTTACGTCTCTTATCACAATTTTAAATTATAACAATACAATGTAACACATCTATAGATGTAAAAATAAATCACATCCTTCACATATCATGGCAGCAGTATTGATAATGAAAGCACGCGTACTTTGTACATTATAGTTTCTGTATATATTTGAAGCATATAGTTTGTAATTATTCTAAAAGTGTTGCAAATAAGATTTCATATATACGATGTGAATATTTCTATATCAGTTTTTATAATATGTCAGAATTTAATTGTATCTTTGTTTTCATAATGATTTTATATCTGGCATCTATAATCTCTTAAAATATATAAGGTTAGTATATACATATTACAGTAATTTCATCTGAAAATATTTATGAAGAAATATTTGTACAGGGGATTTTTTAAATCCAAATTGCGATTAATGTAACAATACTTTTATGACATTTTAATGACATTTAAGAAATTTCCAGTATGCACAGAGAGAGAGAGACCGAGACATCATTAGATCAGAAACTTCAGAACTTTTTTCATTGTGTTCACATGAGACACAATTTTTTCATGTAGTTAAACAATAGCAATTATTTGAATATGTGAAAAATAGCTTAAAGCCCTCAAAGGATACACAATCAATTCTATATAATGCACTACATGTAATGAAATACTGAATTACATAGCTTATTATATAATTTCAAAACTTTTCTTATTTTAAGTATGATGTCAAGTCCTAAATTTCCAAATTACATCTACTATAATATTTGAGATAATATTAAGTCAGTAGTCATTAAACTTTCCTTAAATGTGTCTTAAGATTCAAATATGAATAACATTTTATTTATAAGCTTATGACTTACTGTAAATATGTCCACGTTTAATTTTAATGATTTTCTTTCACAAATCCCAGTGAATCTGTTATCTTTTTGAGCTTACAAACAAATATAAAAATAAATAAAAAGATGTTGAAATTTCTTAGATAAGGATTAGTTGTAACCCTGCTCACATCAGACTTTTAGGACTTTTCACGCTGAAAAAAACCCCAATGAATACCTCACATATACAGTGAGATTCACAGTTTTTTCCTACTTAATAGAAACACATTTTAAGTCGGACTTAGCGGAAACTGGCTTTGAACAAATTGTCATTTTGAAAGTTGTAAGGAAAATTAATTCATTTGTTCTTACCTGTTACGTACAGTTTAGCTCCAGAGCCAAAGATCATGTCTCCTCACACAGTGACACAGACCAGTACAAAAACCTGTCTGATGTCGAATGTGGCAGCTGAGGTAAAGCAATGTCATTCACCAATCAGACGTAACATTATGACTCTGCCTGATTTTGTGTTGGTTCCCCTTCTGCTGCCAAAACAGTCGTGAGGCATGGATTCCACTCGACCCCTGAAGATGTGCTGTGGTATCTGGCACTGAGATGTTAGCAACAGATCCTTGAAGTCTTGTAAGTTGTGAGGAAGGACCTCCATGGATCACACTTGTTTGTCCCGTAGATCCCACAGATGCTCAGTTACTGGTTCACCACTGTTTCTTCTTTGGACCACTTTTAATGCATAGTGACCACTGCAGGAACACCCCACAAACCCTGCATTTTTGCAAAAGCCTGGTTGTCTAGAGTCTTAGAGTCACTTAGCCATCACTATTTTGTCAAACTTGCTCAAATCCTTACACTCGCCCATTTTTTTCCTGTTTCTAAACCATTAACTTTGAGGACAAAATGTTTACTTGCTCCTTAATATACCCAACCGACTAACAGGTGCCGTGATGAAGAGATAATCTTGTCACCTGTCAGGGGTCATGTTGTTATTTCTGTTTAGTGTAATTCAGCTCCATGATTTGGTTCAGTCGAGATGAATTAATGTTGTAAAAACTGCATGAATCTGAATATTCTGCATAACTTCTGCCTCCAGATGATGAGCTACCTGAGCTGACCTTTGTTTCACAAGTTTATTCTTGTCCAAACAGCAGGTTGGCAGTTTTCCTCCAGAATTAAACTTCTCAACAATGTTTTGATGGAGTAGCACTGTAACAGGATTCATTCGCTGTGGTGGGCATGTAGTCTGTGGCTCAGCTGCACAGTAGGGGTGTTGCAGTGGGTTCAGGGGCAGTGTCAGGAGAGCCTGGTGGACACAGCTGACATCGATTGTCTGGAATCAATGAACGGTCTGCAAAGATAAAACTGTGCAAATAAGTCACTTTAACTGCACCAGCCTACCCATCTGAGCATGTTTTGGGACCTAGAAACAGCCAACAAGTGTTACAATATCAGTATGCACTTTGGTCGTCCTCTGGTTTCTAAGAACAAATATCTGTCCAGCTAAATGGTTTCTTCTGTTTGTTCAAAGTTATAAACATCGGCAGAGACAAAAAAAAAAAAATCTCCTCAGACAAAATACAAACTTGCTGCATGTTTTGTAGTTTAACTGCCTGCAAATCTCAGCATGATTATTATGAGGGGTCCTCATGGTAATGTAGAGAACCAGCACATGATAGCAATGACTGTAAAGGAAAAGAAACCAACCTGTATGCTCTGTGCAGATGTGCAAGGTTACAGAAATAAGAGTTGGACAATCAAAGCGACCAAAAAGACACCAAAGCACAGCTTGCACTCGCGGATGTGATGTAACTTTTAGCTTGGCTGACATTTGTGAGGATGACAGTCATAACTATAATGTTACTAAAGGGTGTGATTGACCAGTTGGCTATACTTTGAGAATCCTGGATTCAAACTGTTGTTTTTCATTCATTTCTTTTTTTTTTCAAAGCCATATGCTTTCTGGTTTCTGGAGCTGTGATCACTGTGTTGTGGTGTTTTGGTTTTCCCTCAGTTGCTGTTCTCATAGAGGAATATTGCTTCTCCAAAAAATATAGACACTTCTGTTTGATGTTTGTCAGAAGAAGATAATATCTGTGGATTTTTACAGTCTGCTGTTTTTGACCTGAATGTGAACACACAAGACAAGTTTATCTGATACTCCCAATTGTGTCATCTTTTGAATCTACTTGAATTTATTTTGGTCTTGATTATTTTTACTTCTTATATAAATAAAATACAAACTAGTTGTTTTGCTTTCAAAGGTGATGCCTGCGTCAGTGTGTGTGTGTGTGTGTGAACCTGAGCTGTGGTCTGCTGCTGTTCCTTTGATGGTTTTTGTTCAGCCTGCAGGGATGTTTTGTCACTGTGAGAGCTTTGAGCACAGGAGCAGTAGTAGATGGCTGAATGAACGAGGCTAACTGCATTTATCTCCAACTCACAGCTGTTCTCATTTTTCACAGCTGAGAAATCTTTTTTCTGAGCATGGTTGTAGTCACTGTTGACTTCACCAGTGCGTATGTTAATATGAAGAATCACTCTGAACTTATCACCGTCTTTCTTCTGGTACCAGTGCACATAATTGCCACTGCACTGGGAAGTTCCACAGCTGAAGGAGACTTTTTTGCCAGGTGTCGCAGTCAAAGTTAAATCTTTCTGGATCAGCTCTGCAGCCATGGTAACCAGCGCTGCAAAGACACAGAGAGGAAAATGTCAGTTTGATGGTGTTTCTGACATGTAGTTTTTGTTGGGTTGAAACTCACCTAAACACAGACAACACAGAGCAGCAGCTGGGAGGAAAAGCATTGTGTGAACCGTTGTGTTCAGTGACATTTCCTCTGGTGAATCTGAGGAGAAGTGATGCTTTGATAGAAACGAGGCCAAACAAGGACAATTTATATGATCAGACGAGGACCACGTGTTTCTAACAACTCCTACAACCTCCCATTAACTGCTGCAGCTGTCAGTGCTGCTGCTGACTGACAGCTAAGGCGTGTGTTGCAGTTTTCCACTGAGACTGAGGTTTGCAAAACACTAACCTTCAAATATAGAGGGGGATTTATTTATTATTTCAGTCGTATCTTTTCTTCACTTTCTATGAAGTCAGTCAACAAAATGTCTTAAAACTGTGATGACTTCAAAACTAAAAATATTTGTTCCCTTAAACACAAACTGAGGAACATAAAGGGACTTGATGTAGTCTGAAACATTTTTGACCATGCATGGAAACACTATCATCAACATACAACTCAATGATATGATACATATCAACTTTTAACATTCAGAAGGAAAAACCTCCCATAGAACCGGTCTGAGACATTTTTTTCTTTCTTATCCACCTTTATTGTGTACTTCCAGTACTCCCAGTTAGCTGTCAACCTTAATTACAAGTATTAATTTTACCCTTTGACGGTATGAACATTTCGATTTATGATTTAAAGTACTGAAATTTTGTCTAACTGTTGTCTCTCAGGCTGAGATGGAGCTGTGGTTTCTTGCTTTTCCTCTGATGGTTTTTGTTCAGCCTGCAGGGATGATTTCACACTGTGAGTACTTTTGTAACAAGAGCAGTAGTAGATGGCTGAATGAACGTCTTTAACTGTTTTTAGCTCCAACTCCCAGCTGCCCTGATTTTTCACTGCTGAGAAATCGTTTTGCTGAGGGTGGTTATAACCTCGATTTATTGCACCATTGCTTATACCAATAGAAAGAAGCATTCTGAATGAATCTCTTGTGTCTTTCTTCTGGTACCAGTATACAACAGTACTGCTGCACTGGTCAGTCCCACCACAGCTGAAGGAGACACTTTCACCAGCTACCCTGGTCAGAGTTAAATCATTCTGTATCAGCTCTTCAGCCACAGTAATCACTGGGGTAGAGACACAGACAGGTTAGTATGGCAGTATTTGTTACAGATGGTGGACTCGTGTTTGAATAAAATCACTCACCTGAACACAGACAGCACAGAGCAGCAGCTGGGAGGAAAAGCATCGTGTGCAGTGATGTTTCTTCTGGTGAACCAGGAAAGAAGTAGAGCTCTGTTAGGCTGATGCAGAACAATGGCAAGTTATAAGATCTTACAAGTACCACGTGGCTTCTAACGGGTCCTCCAACCTCCTCTTGTAAGGGTGGTACTGACTGACAGCTGCAACCATCTTGTCGTTTAAAAGAACATTTAAAAATTTTCCTGTAGAGGGATTTATTTGCTGTTCTAAGCTATCATCTTTAATTCATAGTTTCTGACAGGACATACAACCGTGTGACTTATTCTGCTATTTTAGAGATGCAATGAACTTGAATTCCACAAAGATCCTGATCTCTGATTTTAGCTTTGAAATATTTCATTTTTCCCCGTCAACCTAAATCACATAAGTGGAAGATGGATGGATTTTCCCTTTCAATTCATTGGTTCAGTTTCCATTGCTCATTTTTCTGATTCTTTTGTTTGATGATCCAGCTGGTGGAATAACAAAACTGCAGGGCAGTTGCAGAGTGCCCCCTGGTGCACAAACTGTGAAACATCAATATTCATGACATTGTCACAGTGGCACTGTGACATATTAAAAGGTGCTTCTCTTGTCTATTTTTTTTTTTAATTGTTCATTTATTGATCACTCTAAAGGCTGATACTGATATGTTGTCAAATCAACCAATATATCAGTGAGGCTCTAGAAATGACAACCCAACCACCATCTGAATCTTATCAGCGTTCACATGTATTTTCACATCATTATAGTACAATAACACTGTTGTAGAAGATGAGTGCACTCCACTTCCATATTGCTCATAGATATATAGACAGCTTTCCTGGACGAGTGATCTCCCCTCTGTTGGTCTACCTTTAAAGTTTTAGTGGTAATTAAGAAACATTTGCAGTTTGGATATATAACACACTGAAAATTTAGAACTAAAGCCACCAAAACAATTGTTCCATTTTTTCTTTTTTCCATTTTTTTAAGATAATAAGGTTTTGACTTTGATTTGTGGAGATCTAAATCCTGAAAATTTGTTTAGCCTGGTGTTTGTCTCTCAGACTAACATGGAAGCAATAAATGTGAACCTTACCCCTGTACTCCCAGTACTTTCTAGTCCTCTCTCACATCTTTTGCGATGATGGCGCCAGTGTGTCCTGCAGGCCTTCTCCGCTGCTCTCTGCTGCTTCTTACCCTTCTGCTTACATACTATTCAGGTGGCTCTGCATTGATTACCTATGACCGGCATACTCTCCTAAGTCTGCGGCCACCCTATACTTACGGGTCGCACTTTCATGGATCGGACCCGTGGGACAATATAGGAGATACCACTCTGCCATGGACGGATCACCTCTCAGGAACATACTGCCGACCCCTGCCTCCTTCACGCAGGAGATGCTAAAGGAAATGGGGCAAGCAGAGCGGTGT